TTGAGCTTTTCGAAGTTTTTAGAATTTTCATTTTTCGCGCAAATTATTTTAGATGAAATACATCCTAGACGCAAACAAACTTTTTTTAGCATTCCAATAACGCGTGCCAAAATTTTGGCAAAAAAACTAGACAACTTTTCACAAAATCCAAAAAATCCCTTTTTCTTACCATCACACTGAAAACTTACCAATTCTTTTTTCTATCTTAATTAATTGTAGACTCTATACCCAATGTTAATACATAGCATGGCGGACTAAAAATCTAAAACGTATCCTAACTCCAAGGGTCTGCCAGAGTGACCACCAAACCCCCCCAGCCAACATGCATGTTCTTGAGAGTAGGTTTGTGTTGTAGCTAATGGTTGCGCCATTGAATTGCTGATATTTTTCTTGGTGAATTAAAGCTGTAATAATTTTTGCAAAATTGCTGCCATTTGCGTATTTTGGTTCAGTAAATAAGAATAGTTTTTTTAGACATTAATCTATTTATTTAATAATCCATACCCGAATATTAAGGGGTAACTGAAGGTTTACTATTGATTTTTTAGTTGTGGTTGGGAACGGAGTGTTGTTTTTGTTCTGTGAAGTTGTGATTCTTGTATGCATATTAAAATACTTTGTTGTGTTGTTGTGGGTTTTGTTTCAACTATTCCTTCGAAGCAAAACGTGACGGTGTTTGGATACCTTGCTGTCTCATTTTGTAGTTCCACTTAAAATTTCCTGTGTTTTTTTTTCATGTTGACTTTGGACTATTATTAAAGGTATTCTCATGAAATATTGTGTTGTACTTTAATTGTTTGGTATCAATTGTTATTGGAATTACTCTTAAATAAAATTTATTTACTGAGATGCTTGTAATTGCTGCAATTGAGATACCATTTGGTATGTTGAAAAAAATTGAGACCATTCTTGGTTCCATACATAATCTGTTTTATCTGCTAGTATTGTTTTATTGTCATTTTGTGGTCTAAAACTTATTTTTGCTTGTGATATGAGATCTAGATTAAGTTGGAAGTAACCTATTATGAACCTTGCTAGGATTATTTATAAATCATCCTTAACTATTTGTAATAATTCATTGTCAGTGAGTACTTCACGCATGGATTTAGAAATTTCTAGCAGCTCACGCATGAATTCCACGCAGGCATCTAGAAATTTCTCGAGGGCTGGCGAATTTTCAGAGAAGACATTTGAAACGTTTTTCTACAATTTTTTATTCGACTAATTTTTTTTGTGAGCTCTCCCAAACAATTATAACGACCCTAATTTGATCCACGTTACTGTGCCGTAAGCAAATTTTTGAAAAAAAGCAGGGAAAGGCATTTTTAGGCCTTTTTGGGAAAATTCTGACAAAAAAAATTGCTTTTTTGGCGCGCGCTCCCCCTTTAAAATAGTAAATTGGGCGCCTTCAGATATTTTTTTTAGGTCAGCCAGTCAAAAGTGGATTTTGAAAGAAGTACAAAGAAGGGACCGTTTCGGTCGGCATGGGGTCGAAATACAGAGGGGGGCGACGCCACCCACCCGCCCCTTTCTAACTCCGCTTCTGGTTCAGGAATTGAATCAAAAAGTCGTGAGAAATGATTATGTTCTCGTCTTACTATTACGTGTCTCGAGATGTTTGTGGCGGAGATACATATAATGTCTTGTGGGCTTACAATATTAAAAAATAACTATAAATGATGGAGAAAACATCGTTTCTGAAAAATGAATTTGCTTATTGTGAGTTCATAATGTGTTCTCATGTGTTCTATAAAAACAATTTGAAAAAATTCATTCTATATCACCTGTTTGTATTCGATTCAACGGCTGGATGTATTTTGTGGTGAAAATTTATTTGGGAAAAAAGTTAATAGTTTGATTTAAACCTGGTAGATAGTGATAGAGTACTTGCACTATGATTTTTACTTCTTTTTACATGAACTATTTCTTTTTGGGAACAGGTTTACGTTTGAATTGAGACGCAATTAGTTTTTAACTCTTGATGAATTGCTTTTTGGGTCAATAATAAAGAGAAGGATGGTATCATCATCAAAATTATTGTCGTATTGAAAGTATTTTTGTGCGTTATTACGGTTAAAGTGTAATTTTCAATAGGTATTTTTGTTTGATTTCAATTACACAACTTACTGTTTTGCAAATATAAGAGTTTTTTTTTCCGCTTTGCCTTCAATGAATTATGCTGTTGTGGCTTCTGATCCGGCAAAATATCTTCGATTGTCTACTGGCTTATTTTTATCGCTTAGTAGGTTTCAAAGTTTTTGAAGATTTTCTTTTGCTGATGAATCAGATTACGAAACAACGTTCCATGTTGAGAAAAAAATTGATTTTGTTCTTTATTTTCGCTTTGAGTTTTTGCCTTCTTTTTTGTTTGCTTTTTTATCCAATATATATTTTTATTTGTCTATGCGGTAGAATTATCTTGCTTTTTAGGTTATTTTTTTTCTTGATTATATCTTAATCATCGTGAGAGACTGGTTGAAGAGAGAGTATATCAAATCGTTAGAATGGTTTTGTACTGCTCTTGATAATGTATAACTACAGATAAGTAAGACCTAATCTTACCTAGTTGGGATTTTGTTTTGAGATCAAGGGTTGGAGAATAGTAAATTAATCCACAAGGTTCAGATATAATTAAAACACAATAAGCTCGTTAGATACCATTTTAAGTCATACGAGTTATTGGGTATGTATTAGATCTTTGTCAATCAAGAGGAAGGGCTCAATTGAAGGATGAATAATCGAAGCTCTTCACTATTTATCTTAATTGAAATTGGTAGTCTTTGGAAACATTTTCAGCTAGTCCTGTGTCGATTGTAAGTGTTGGAAAATGAATCGACGTTTTAGAATGTTAGACACTAATTCTAAAAGATGGGGACTAGAAAAAATACTTTTTTAATTAATGCAAGGAAAGCTTTGATGATCGAGTAATTTAAAGTATATAAAATTACAGTTATGAATATAACTTTCAAACTTGAAGATTGGAATTGAAATTTAAAGACCATGGATAGCCCTGATCATCTGGCTTTAAAAATACTTCAGATTTAAATTTGACAAGGATAGCTTTGAAAAACTAAACTAATTAAGGAAATGTTAGGTTTTAAATTTAAATGAGGTTGGTTATTTGAATTAGTTCTGTATGTTTTGGGTGAAAAAGAAAAATAACAGAAAAATTAGAAAGAAGCATGGAACTTCAAGAAGCATGGAACTTTTTGTACTTTCATAAAACTAATTTTAGGTATTTTGGTTTCCTAGTTTTTTGTAATTTTTGTTTATTCAAAAAATGTGACACCTAAAAAATTTTTACACATATACTGTAGATTTGAAAGTTTTGAGGTAGTTGGTAAGTTTGATGTCGACTAGGTATGTCTATAGTTATTAAATAGTTATCTTAGTTAGACTTACAGTTTTGAAAGGAAGCTGATTGTTCTGAATGTGCGATTCATAACAAATGAGTGAGAGAGTACTGCATGAATGGCTTCGCAGAGAAATAATCGTTGTAGTCTGCTTCTTTGTTTCACGATGTAGAAGCTCAGTCTACTTTTCTGATTTTGACTCAGTGTCAGCCGTATCATCATTCGTTTGAATCATTTGGAAATAAGGAGACGTGGAAAAAAGCTAATTGAATTATCAATTTGGTTTATCATTGGGTTGGGAGTTTTGATCTTTTTTGTCTAATCTTTTTGTTTTTGCCAATTTTGAACTAGTAGCGGTCTGTTCGAGACTCTTTTGGTCGCAGCAGATGAGTTAAGTCCGAGTTGATTTTCTCTTAGGGTAGTTTCCGATATGGAACTTAGTCTGTTCGTCATGCAATCTTATATTCGGCCGGATAGATTCCTGCAACTTCTTAGTCTAATACCAACCCTAATATTACTCTTATATCTCCTAGTCTGAATAGATTTAGCGAGTTATTATTGCGATGTTTAGAATCAAGAAGGATAACCTAGAAAAAACAACTGTTTGCTAAATCATTTTTAATCTTTTCTGGCTAAAATATAAATAGTTTCAGCTTATTATTTTTTGGAAGTTTCAGTCATGGATCATGATTGGTTAGATCTAAGTACTTTACCGAGGTAGTTTGTCAAGAATTTAATTGGGTATAATAAAAACTTGTTTTGAACTGGTTCCTCTATTGAAACATAGCTGTGATACTCAACAATTTGGTAACTCTCATCATTGATAGCCGTTTGAGAGGCATTTTCATCAATTTATGGGTATTCGCGGACTACAGCTTTTCAGAAAGCACATCAACTTCTTTTACTCATCCACTATTTTGCTCGGATGGTTTGTTGATAATGGTGAGGACAATTCTCTTTAAACGTCCATTTTCTTGACAAAAACGCTCTAATCGGCTATTTATAATTATTTGAACTGACACACAGTGAAGATTATTTGATAAATAAAAAACGATATGGCAGAATAACTCAAATCATGAGAAACACCAAATTAAGAAGAACAAGTTAACTTCTTCAAAAAGAAATGACCCAGGTGAAAGCTAGTCTGCTATTTTACACGGATGAGGTTATAACACATCTACCAAATTGTTCTATACACTTTGAAACACAACAACGTGATATGTGCACTTTAAATTAGCCAAATTAGAATAAATTGTTTTCTCTGGAATATATCATGTAACAACTAATTTTGAGCGTGATGTAAGGGGTTTATCTGGATTATTTTTTTGAATGTTTATCACCGGAACGTATTTGAAGCTTGGAATACACATTATGATGCATATCAACTTACAATGTTGACGACCCAAGAAGGATAACCTAGAAGGATTACAAGGATTTCTAACAAACGAACTCTTGTTCTTCCAATTGTATAATTTACGAGTGGCGAGTGAATAATTAGGTGATTTGAATGCTGTAAAATGTGCAAAACAAAAGCAAAATAGAATATGATAAAACAAAATTGTAACATTTTACTATTTGTTGGAATTAATTTCTATGTCTTCATTTTCTGTACTGTTTCAAATCTTCTGACTTTGAATTCAATTTCAGCCCAATGGAAGAGCACTGTGGAGGCCATGCTGACACAAATGTATGCAAAAGAACGCAAAAGCCCGGTTGAGGCGAGAACAGAGATATGTGACACTCTGAGTGCTTCTTATCCTGAGAAGTGGTGGTGTGTCAGTTATAAATGGACAACGGATGATTGGGCACTACGAGTAAAGAAAGGAGTAGGAGAGTCGGCTGAGTGGAACAATATCGGTTATTCGTTTAAATTCGATTTCTACGTGTGCACTGTACCCATTGCACATCTGAAAGAGATAGGAGGAAAGTGTTCTGCAGAGAAAGAGAGGAAAGCAAATGAAATAATAGAAAGTGTGGGTGGAATGTTTCGGCAGAAGGGGAAGACAGTTAATTTTGAGAGTGTAGCAGATGAAGTGGTGTCTCGTTTGGACAAAGAAGGACTCAACTGGGTGCACATAAACGTATCACCTCGTTATTTTATTGCAAAATCTTCTTCAGAAGCCATCAGTCGTGTCTACAGTAGCATTTCCGGAACAGGAAAAACACTCATAATCTCGATCTTCCTAACAGCCTAAACATTGCAATACCTATAATCAATTCATTATTTGTCCTTTATTGTCGTTAACACTTGGATCTACATGACAATCAATTTGAATGCAAAAATCAAATAAAAATAAATTGATTAGATATGCTTTCTTTTATGAAATAAATAATATTTCTTTAGGAATTTTCAACTGAAGATTTCAGGTCATTTTGACTAAACTTCTTACAAAATTAAGGGAAATGAAAGGCTCTGTCAAACTGAATATTGATGACGTGTTTTAATTGCTGAAATCCTGGGTTGACCTTCATAGACCAAAAATGTTAATCATACAATTCCATAAACTAATCCGCATTGAGCGCCCATGGTTCATAATCGATTATATTGTCATAATATGGACAGTATCTATAAAATTACAAAAGAATAGATTAAAACTCACTAAAAATGAATTATAATCGTTTTTTTTTTTTCAATTCAATATAATCCATTATAATCGATTATAATCCATTAAAAATTGTTTATACATTTTTTATGCCATTATATTCCAATTTAAATTTATTCAAGGTTATCTCATTTCCTGTTTAGTGCAGTTGCTGTGTTTTACGTTTCATGAAAGGTTGAATCCCCTTCCCCAGTTTACTCTAGCTCCCCTTCCCCGTTTACCCCCTCCACGTTTACTCCTCCCCCGTTGGCTTGAACCCCCCCCCCCCCCCCCCCCCCCAATTTTTCTTTATTCCCTACCCCCAGTTTACTTTACCCACCTGCCTGCAAGTTTACCACAACCACTAAAACGCTGTGTAGCTGATGGGGTAAAAAACAGTCTGTAGCTGATGGGATACAAAACACATTGTAGCTGATGAGGTACAAAATGTAGGTAGCTGATGGGGTACAAAAAGTACAAAACTTTATAGAACTGATGGAATGAAAAAACTATTAGCTGATGGGTTAAAAAACAAGGAAATTATCTTGCTGATTGGGTAAAAGCACCTTGTAGCTGATAGGGGGAAAATATTTTGTAGCTGAGGTCAGAAACAAAATAGAACTGAGGGGGGAAGCACTATAGATATGATGGGGTAAAAACACTATAGAGCTGATGAGGTACAAAACAGTATTGAGTGGGACGTTGGGACGTGGGAGTAATTTGAGATAGGGTACACAGTCTGCTCGTCACGCTATCTTAGTTTCGGCCGGATAGATTCGTGCAGCTTCTTAGTCTAATACCGATCTTAATCTTACTCTTATATCTCTTAGTCTAATACCGATCTTAATCTTACTCTTTCATCTATTAGTCTCAATACATCTAGAGCATACTGGTTTTGTTACGATTCGGTCTCTTGGAGAAAGCAACTAAGTTGTAAGTTAAATTCAAATCTTTCTGGTGCTCAAAATACAAGTAAGTTCAGCACTTACAAATAAGTGGGTTGTTAGTTTGATGGAGTGTGATTGGTTAGTCTTTAATATTTTATTAGAATAAAATATCTAAATTGTAACCAATAATAAATTATAGTTTGAATCTGGTTCCACCCAACCGGGGTTTACAGAGTTTTTTTGTTCTTTGACTTCTATCTGTAATGGAGGATGGATGATGATCGTTGATATTTCGCGAGCATCATTTCTTTTCCGTTCTTGGAGAAGGAAGCTCCAGGAAGCTGGAATCGTGGATATCATTCTGTCATTCAACAATGACTGTGACCGCCAACAAAATCAATCTGGTTTGTTATGATCGTTTGTTCTTGTTCGGCGGAAAACTGTGTTTCGATCTTATTTGGGAATGGCGTGAAGATTGAACTTGGAGAGAATGTCTTGTAACTTGGATCTGTCTGTATACTTGAACATACTGTTGTGATTGTGGGCGCGTATCGGTTGTGTTTAGCCAACCTGTAGATTCAGTGTGATGGGATCTTCTAGTTTCTTGATTCTCGTCTTCTTGATTGTGTGTGATCTATATACTGCTTCATATAATTTACATAAAAAATTTTTTGTAAGTTCTGTTTTTAGTTATGCTTTCTATTCATTGTTACCACAAAAGCTTTTAATTTCGTTCTGTTATTTTTAAAGAGTTACTCGCCCCTGAGTAGCTCTTGTCAAAAATAGGGAGTGGGTCACAAAGCGTGTTCTCTATCATGGTGGGTTAGGCCGGTTATTAAGCATGCTCAGGACGTCCTCTTCTGGTGGGTTAGGCCACGAGTGAGGGTATGATTGCATGCTGGTTTTTTGTGGGGTCCTGTTTTGTGTTAAACTTTTATGTTAAGTTTGTTACTGGTTTTTCCTTTTGTTGTGTCCTTTTCTCAAAGATCAAATTGTTTGGTTTGGGTTTGTCTGGCGAGTTTTTGGTGTTTTATTCTTTCTTTTTCAGACATATCAATAGTCTCCAAAAGAATAATTTATTCAGTTCTTAAGCTGGTTTAATCCGGTTTGAGTACCGTGGGTTTTCTTTTCTTAGTCATGCTGTTAGTTTGTGGTTTATGGTGTTTAGTAAGCTGCGTTGGTTAGTTTGGATTATTATAAAATTCCTTTCCAACCGGGTTAAAAGAAAGTTTGAAACTTGTCAATGTCTGTTCGAGTTGTTGTTAGTGAAAGTTAAAAGTTGAAATTCATTATTTTAAGCAATTCGTCGTGGGCGAGCTGTACGAGTATGGATAGAATTTGTGTGCAAGTGAATAAAAAGAAGCGTCTTCAAAAAGGTTAGTACTGCTTTCATTTGTGTAAATTTACTACAAGAATTATTAATTTTACTGCTTTGTGGGATTGAAATTTTTCATTTATTTTCAATGTATTCAAATTTACTACATTGGGGAAAGAATTTATAGATTAATTTACTACTTTGGGAAGACATTTTTTTGCATCATTCAGTGTGATTTGTTAATAGAAGTTTATAACTAATGAAAAAGTTTCGAGTTTGGTTTTTTCTGTTTGTAGATGATCGTGATTTGAAGAATAAAGAAAAGAAAAAACCTTTAATAATGAATGGTTAGTTTTATCTCGATTTTTGTTAGTTTTAATTTATTCAATTCATACATACTCATTCATGGGGAAAAAATCCATGAGGGAAAACAACGTGGATGGCATCATATGTGGTTACTAGCTTTGCTAATATTCGAATGATCCTTTTAGTCTGAAGTAGTGGCCAAAGCAATTGAAGTGTCTGAATGGTTTTTAGTTCTTTAGTGCCAATGAAAAATTCGTAGGGTGTGTTTTGGATTTAAAAAAAAGCTTGTGATTATATTTAATTTTGTGTATAAATTCTAAAATTGGTACTTCGACAGGTTGAATGTATTTGTGCGGGAGAATTAGTGGTCGGGATTCTTCTATATTGAAGTTTTGGTGAGAGGACAGAATATATACATCTGCGTGATTGGGCCATAGTTACGGGGATGCCTTGAAAGTTAGTTTCTTTAATGCAATATGTGAAGTTAAGAAAAAAAAAGGTGATGTGCACTTGGAGTTCATGAATTGATATCTATGATGGGGTTGTCGTGATGGTGTATGTAAGTCAAAGTGATTTTGTATGAATCTATAGTAAATATAGGTATTTGTCTGTTTAGTTCTAACATGATGTCGTGTGAACAGTGCATATCTCGTTCTTTGGGTGTGAGGAAGTGAAAGGTTATTGAGAAGGTTTCAAATTTTCCGTAAATTGGTTCATAAGCTTGGATATCACAAAACGCTTCTGAACTGATATGATCGTGTTTTTTATCTATTGAATTGAGTGTGAAAAGGTGAGGTTTTCGTTGAAAAAATTTTGGTTAATTGCGAGTTAGCTAACTGGTCATCATCGAGTGCTGTTGTTAGTCTGAAAAAGTTACTTTTTTTTCTTTCTATCTTGCGGTGTGTTAATTAGTGGTAATCAAAGTGGGTTTCAGAAGTGATAATATAATGTCCAATGGAGTGTGGGGATTAATACATGCTCATCGACATAGTTGGTTTGTTCAATGTTAGTGTCGGTGTAGGTATCTGTATATTGAGGGAAGAAGGGTAAAGATGATTGAAGCAATTGGGTGATATTGGTGTGGTCAGGATGGCTTATATAATCTCGTGCTATTCCGTGTTTGGTGGGAAACGGGTGATTGGGAAATTTTCTTTTGAAAGTTCTATATGCACGGTTAGTACTGGACGATGATTGTGTTGATGTTGAGGATTGGGCTAAAGAAGGGGTGTAATCTGAAGAAGTTGTGGGAGTTGGTGGGTTTGATGACGTAACCGTTGATGATAATTGATGATTGGGAATTGTTAGGGTTTGAGGGTGTTGTACTTGTTGTTGCGGTGTTATTAGATTGCTTAGTTCATATGATATTTGTGTCATCTGGGGAATTATTGTTTGAACGATCATTGGTAAAAGGGGAGTATGTTGGTGTCACTTGGGAAATATGGGAGAGGGTAGAGGGGGATTCCCTTTGGGCTTGGGAGTGGATGGGTTGAAAGGGTTGTTCAGAAAAGGTAGAAGGGCTGGGTTCTGAATTTGCGAATTCATCAGGGGTTTCTAAGTCTGAATTGTCGAATTGGGAAACTGTGTGGAAAACTGTAATATCTGAGTTAGCATCAGAGTACATGCCGGATGATGTGTTAATATGGGGTGAATCAGGTGGCGGGAAAGCAAAAAGTGGAATGATGGGAATTGGGTTTTGGAGATTGGCTGGATGTGAAATTGAGCGGCGAAGGGATCCAACTAAAAAAATGATTATTTTGAGATTGAAAAGTTGTGTAGTGGGGCTGTTTGATTATTTGTTCATATGTTTCTTCACTTTGGGATTGTTGTGTTACTATATGGTGAATTGGGTGTTGTATATAATTAGGTCTTGAACTTGTAATATTTGTGAGTGCTAAATTTCAAAAAATTCGTGGTACTAATGATAATGGGTGACTATGATGTAGACTTGGTAATTGTGGTGCTGTGGGTGATGCTTGTGTATTGTTTTGTGATTCGTCATATGTGTTTAGTGTTATCGGTATTTTTGTGCTATATTCTTTTATTTGTGCATCTAAAAGTATTATTTTTATTGATGCAGAAAAATTGCGAAAAAACCTGCGGAAAGTATACGTGCTACGCTTGCTTGTCGGTTAACGTGTGTATGTATTGCGCATGTGTTATAGATTCCTTTTAATAGAGAGAAAGGAAATCCGATAAAATTAAACATTGCGTATAAAATAGTCAATCTTTCTAAGATGTAATAGGGCCATCCTAGAAAGGCAAGAAGTTCGTTTTTCAGGTTTACAAAATTAAAAATTTTGATTGGTGATATATCCTGTGGTCTATACCTTTCGCCATTTGAATAAATGTAATTTTAAATATCTTTGAAAAATCCGCTGTAATCTTGTGCGTAAATGTCTGAATATCCTGCGGTTTCTGCAAGTTTGAGTAAATTCTGATCTATTGATTATCGTTGTATTGTGTCCAATTTTTTAAGGAGGTC